GCACTATCTTTTTTTTTTTTTTTTTGGCAATCAAACTCAGGACCTTATGCTTGCAAGACAGATGCCCAAACAACTGAGCTAAATCCCCGGCCCAGGTTCCTTTCTTTTAATATTTCTGTATTAATTTTTTTGTCTTGGAGATGCTTTATTCTGATGTATTTGAGGTTGACCTTTTAGTTTTATTTCTCATATTACCAGGGTAAGAATCAAGTGTTTAGACAATGTGTATTTATGAACACAACTTGTACATTCTTTCTAATAATTATGCAATAATGTCTATTTAATTTTAACTTTATAGAATTGAGTGTGTTTAGTGACAGGTCAATGTAGCTGGGAGTCTTGAAACCAAGGTTTTGTTTGTTTGTTTTTGTCATATGTTCACTCAGGCAGTGTGTTTACCTCCATTGCGGAGTAATTTACAATAAATAAACATGAATAACACCAGGCCAAAGAGTTAACAGTCTAGCAGGAGAAGCTAATCAAATGTAGAGAAAGAATGACTTTAAATCCACCAGAAAGACAAATAATTATATTTGACTGGGCTCATCATATAAAGCTTCATGTAATAAGCAACAAGAGATCCTTAAAGATAACAGTTTGACAAAAGGCACAAAGCTGAAAAGTGCAGAGCATTAAGTAGTGTGTGGTTTAGTTTCCTAGAAATAATGAAGTGGGAAAAGAGCTGTGATTACTTTAAAAGGCAGAAAGGATTCGTGAGAGCCTGATTTTAGATGGTTACTGCAGAATGGCTAAGAGGTATACCCCTTATGTGAGGGAGGTTGGATACACTTAAAGATTTGAAGCAGTATAAAAACAGGATCAGAGGGAGGCTTGAGGGAGATCCCCAAAACCCTAACTGGTAACCTCGGCTAAGGTCTTTACTATGTCATAACTCTAGTTTTGCATCTATGTCTTATAAAGAAATGATATTTTTGCTCTTTTTACCCTCATGAATGAAGTGCAAAAGGAAATCTGCTTAAACCATCTTCTAAACCAATCACAAAGCCTAAGACAAATTTTCTCCTTAAAAAATATGCATGATGAATTTTAAAAGAAAATAAAGACCTTTAATACATTTATTTTATTTATATTTATTTTATTATATGGCAGTTTTAATGTCTGAAAGTATACCTTCATTTAAAACATGAAGGAAAAGAGTTTGGGATAGCATCGTATTTGAAAATCTTTGATAATTTTTCATGACCGATGTATAAAAAATTAAACCAATGTTACTGGCTGTGTAAACATATTTAAATTTTTAAAAAGGAAAAGAAAAAACACAAAAGCGAGCAACAGTCAAGAAATTTCATTTAACTGCATTTTGTAGCATGAATCATTTCCTTTGTTTCTTCATTGGGAATAGCCTGCCAGGGCTTGATGATTTACTTAAATGGAGAAAATTTTACAGGCCTACAATATTAGGATCCTTTATTAACTTTTACATTTTGTGGATAAACAAGAGACAGAACATTAGGTTTCCCAGAGAATATAAAATCTCCCCTTTTAATCAAATGTTCAGCTTTAAAATCTCAGCATTCACAGGCATTCTGTAAACACAACAAATAAATTGGTTTCTCATCCAGATCAATTGCTTACCATGTCAAGACAGTTTGGGGAAAATCTGTTAAGGAAAATTCATCACCAGTAGCTTGGTGGTCTGTACCAGCTCTCAGGGCATCACTTACTTTCATTACAAAGAACACCACCCCAGCCTGCTGGGCAGGAACATCCACTCCTTCCTTCCTGGCATTTGCCTCCATTCATGCAGTCTTCACAGCGCAAACTACAGTCATGTCCGAAGGTGCCACCTAAACAGACTGGAGTGTGGTTTCATCTCAGTTGGCTCATGACTGTCTACATAACTGAAAATGGACATAAAACCCTCTCTTTTCCAACTTTTGATCTCAGCGCATATTTCTTAGCTTTCCAGAAAAACATAATAGCCAAAAGAAATCTTTTAAAATAGAGCTTACTTCATGTTTCCAATTATAGCATTGGAATATTGAAAGTCCTTTCTTAAAAGAAAAATTGCTTCTGGGGACTGAACCCTTGGCTTTGTAAGTGCTAAGAATATCCTGTACCACTGAGCCATACCCTATCTTTATTTAATCTTTAGGAAAGGAAAAACAAAAAGATAAAAAAAAATCATCATTGATTCCAGAATGCAAAACTAACCAATATTCCAAGCATTTTGGTATTTTCCTTTCTAGGTGTTTTTATACATAGTCTTTTTCCCAAAGTATATTTTCACACTAAAAACTTAATATACATGCAGAAAGTATCTCAAGTGTATATTTCAAAAAAATTTTATAATGTAAACAACCCAATATATGCTACCCAGCTGAAGATATACAAAATAACCAGCCAGCCAAAATCTCCAAAGTAAATTGTTGATTCTCAGTCAATAGCCAATTATGTACCATTTTGATTTCTGACAAAATAAATCATGATAGTTTTTCCTTGTTTTATAACTTTCTGTAAATGTAGATATAGAGTATGTGCTCTTTAGTGTCAAACTTCTTTCAATATAATATTGGTAGCACTCATCCACTCTGTATGTATATAAGCTTAGTTTTTATGACCATACAGTATTCCATCGCATAAATGTACCTCAATGCATTTATTTGTCTATCCTGCCCTTGAAGGAGATTACCTTAATCTGAATAAGTTTTGAGAGACTTGTATTCCGTTATTTCAGGCTCATTCCAGTTTTGTTCCTGTTTTTAGGATGAGGCGTTCAGGTGGCCCTGATTTAAAAGCTGTCACTTTTATCAAGTCCTCTTTTCCTTGATAGCCCCTGAGGTCCACCTTCTGTCTCCTCATCACTACTGTACAGCAAGCCCCTGTGCCTAGCTCTTCACCTTCTTAACAGTTGCCTTTTAGATTTCCTGGCATGGCTCACAGATTAGAAAATGGATGGAAGGCAAAGCAATAGAGATGTCTCTGGGTTTCTCCTTCTATATCTTAACAAATTTAGTGGTGTTCTGACTCCCTTTGGTGTGCAAAACTACTTCTAGTATGATCCTGTTCATTTCAGAACATTATTTTTATGTAGAAGCATTTATTATTATTACTACGATTTAACCATATGTTATGGTATAAATACTAAGTTTCCCCCAAAAAACTCATTTAGTGAGGGCTTGATCTTCAATGCAGCAATGTTCAAAGATGGGACTTAGAGATGTGGTGGGATTATGAAAACTCTTAACTTCATCAGTGGATTAATCCAGTAATAAAATCATAATTCAATGGAATTATTAAGACACGATGAAAATAGGAGGTGGGGCCTAGTTGAAGGGAGTGGATCATGGGGGCTTGACCTTAAGAACTATATCTGGTCCCCAGTCTCTTCTCTCTGACTCTTCCCCTCTCTCTGTTTCCTGGCTGCCACCAGGTGAGCAATTTTCTCCACCCCACCTTAGGTGCATAAGCATGAAACAAGTGGGTCACAGGCTGAAATGTTTGAAAAGGTAAGTCCAAATAAATCCTTCCTCCTTTATGTTGTGTATATATTTGTCACAGTGATACAAATCTGACTACCATGTTATAGCATCAAAATATCTCTGCTATTCTATTGAATGCCTGCTAAAGCAGTCATTAAACCTTGATATTGTTAAATTTCAACAAATATGGGTAGAATGAAAAGAGTTTCTGTTTTACAAAGAAAAGAAAACATAGCTGTGGAGTGCCTGCAAACAGCTGTTCTTTTCCCCTTTTTCTTTATCCTCTCTTCTTTTTTAGACAATCTCACCACATGGTCCAGGCCAGACAACTCAGCCAAGGCTGCCCTTACATTTGCAATCCTTTTACCTCAGCCTCTCAAGTGCTAGAAGTATAGACATGGATTACCATGTCCAGCTCACATAGTTACTTTTGATAGAGGCTGTGCTAATTCATTTTGACCTGAAATGCTTTGATGCTTGAGTTCTATTTTTGTATATATAAGAAAAACTGGTCAAATTTTGACGATTTTTTTTTTGGTTTACCTAAGCATAGTAAACAATTGTCTCTCTGTATTTTAAAATCTAGAAGAAAATTGTATTTTAAAGATGTTTAAAGTGAATTTCAATTATATAAGAGACTTGTAGTAGAGTTTTCATAATTAGAAAAGTTAAAAGTTCCCAATTCTTCTCCCTACTATGCAATTTAAGTATATATACCTACATGGTGCCCTTTTATTGTGTAGAAGGAAGAAAGATAAAAAATGATAGGTTTGATATGAAGCTCTGAAGAATGATTTTTTCCCGACTTTTCTTGCAAACTTTATGTTAAAATATTTGATGGCTTTAAATGTTGATAATGAAATTGTCTATAACAAGATATGAATTGAATAAAACTAAGGAGAGCTGGGTATGAGATACATTCTTTGACTCACCAACTTCGTGCAAAACAGTGAGTTCTTGTAAAGCTTTTTCCTCTTCCTCTTCATCTTTGTAAGAGGGAGTCAGAGAGGTAGCAACATAATGAAGCAGTTGAGGTGGGCTCTGGATTAGAAAGCCTGGAAAGTTCACTTCTAATTCTTGTTCTTCCTCTAGTTCATCATCATATAAAGCTAAGACCACAAAGTAAAAAGCTTGGTTTCAATGTATTGGTTAGAAGAAGAAAACACAGAGGAAGGGTTGAGAGAGAAATGAGAGTTTGAACTAGACAGCCAAGGTAGGGGGTAACTGAAAGGGAAAGCACTTTGAGATGGCCATTTCAAAAGTCTACTGTAAATCAGGGTGAGAAACTGCTGGCACAAAATTGAAGTTGTGGCAGAGAACAAAAGAAAAAGGAAGAAAGACTTCAGTCTGTAAAGAGAAAGGGGAAGTCAGGTAAAGTTAAGGAATAGGAGGTCTCCATTGTTCCTGTAGAACAAGACATGGTGGAAGTCCTTTAGAAGAGACATGGTGATGTTCTTCAGTGACTTTCACAGGTAAGTTTTCATGTCACGGCCGATTCTGTAGCCTTCTTTACAAGTACAGTCATATGTTCCCACTATTGGACACTCATCCACTTCTAGGAAAATTAGAACAATATTTGCTTTATGTGTTCCTTTTGTGACCTTTATTAGCCAATAATAACATGCTTGCTGTATAGAAAGCCAGTATAGCACCAAATTCTTTTTCATGTATTTCCTGCCAATTACCTATCTCTCACTTATTTCTAAACACACTGCATTCATCTACATAAGCAAAGCTTTCTGAGACCTTGCTTATGAAGTTTAAGTGAAGAACATAAAACTTAAATTCAATGGTTTTAGGTAGTGCATCATTTTGCAGTATGTTCATTCACTCTTAAATTCAAATATGTAATGGAACGCTTATTCTATGGATAGTTCTATATAGTATTGTGGAGAATTTTAGATATGGGAGAACTTCTAAGCCTTGACTTGTTCATATTGCTTTAGACTTTGGCCAGTGCGTATGCACAAGACAACAAAAATTCAAAAATGTGGCTGAATTTCTAAGCTTAGCCTTAGATTGTGGACAACTTCTGTTTAGATGTATGCATGTGAGTATGTACATTCATGCAGTATAGTATTTTTTTGGCCCCGTCTGCTTGAGAGCAGATGGTACATAAATTCAAAAAGTTTTTGCTGGCTCTGTTAATTGGATGAAATATCATACATGGTAATATACTCTAGTGTGTTTAGTATATATAGCTATCATAGTTGTGTGTTGTGCTGTTATCTATACTGCAAGGTTGAGGAAGCTTAGCTACGTATATGAAAAAACTCACCTGTCATCCTGAACAGAATTTAGGCATTTATTTTTGTTAAAGAAACACTATTTTCTCTGAGACATTAAAGTTATATATTTTATCTGGTATTGGGGTAGATATTAATCTTCTGATCTTTGATTTTGGGAAAAATATAGTTCAAATTAATGATGATGATTACAAAATGAAAATTTAAAGATTATCTTTTTAAGATGACTTTAAAGTAAGTAAATCACAGCAATGGCTTATGTGAGCTATTCTTAATGGTATAAACAAAGTCAATTAACCATACTCATTACATTCAAACTCCCCTATACTAAATTAAAAAAAAAACCTTAAGTATGAAAGGGAAGAACTAATACTAACAATTAAGCTAGATGACTCATCTTTAAAACTTGCTTTCATTATATTAGTATTAGATATACAAGGGATTCTGGTAAAGATATTTGCTCATAAAATCAGAATCCTTTTGTTACTGCATTCTAATTAAAAATGATTTTCAGTAACCAACTATCTGATTCCAGTAAAGCTGATTAGGGATGATTTCTATGACAGTATGTTATGACTATCCAGAAACTCTCATCTGTATATATTATAAATAATTTTATATAACATTAAATAGATTATATATTAAATTAGGTAAAAGGGATTACAAACCAATAATATGACAATAATAGCTACTTCCAGTAGAGTGATTTCTCTGTCAGCCACTGTACTAGGCAATTAACATTGCAGTCTTATTTTACTCACTGATTCTATTACTGTATTAATTTTACCACTGAGAATCTGAGGCACACCAAAGTTAGAGCTGCCCAAGTTCATGCAACAGTAAATGGTAGAGCCACATGGATATTCAAATCTCTTCACTGTCAAAACCTTCCACCCAGCAGTTTCTCCTCCATTAATTGCTCCATCACATCAGTTATTTCCTGTTAGCCCTCAGGAATTTACCATCACATCCACACCCATCAGAACTGATCACAAAGCCTTCCTGACAGCTGCATTCATAGCCTCCTAAATAGTTGATGCAGAGCTGGGCACAGCAGGCTTCTCCACTTTCACATTCATCAAGGTCTGAAGAAGAAAAAGACATTTCTGTTACTGGAAATACAGGGATTTCACATACCTTTAGATGCTCTGAGGAGCCTCATTTCCAAATTAAAACTTTTATAAACCATTTTCCATTTCTCAGGTCATATAGTAAAGACATTGAATGAACTATAACACGAAAGTAATGAGACCCACTTTTGGTTTATGTTTTCTCATACACTTCTTCTCTACCCACTGTTGATTATGAAAGAATGTAAATAACCCCCAAATGGATTTATAAGCATAGGAAAAGAGATTTTGGCATTTTTGCAGTTTAAACAGTAATCTGAATGAATGAGCAGAGAACTTGAAGAACAAAAAAACAGCATGAGAAAAAAGAGCCAAAAATTCCACTTAGTAATATTTGACAGCTAATAAAAGGTGACAGTCTTTATTCCATAGTATGTGTGTTCTTCTAGAACTTCAGATCAATGAATGTTCCCAAGTTCCTCTCTCACAAACAGCTGGGAAGAGAAGTGGTAAGTATAGTTCTTTGAGGAAAGATGCTTATTTTCAATATTATGTTTTAAATTATAGAATATTTCAGAGCATTTGCTTACACATTTATATGGTGCTTTGACTAGGATGTATGAAGTCTGGGTTTTTTTCTTGTAATTGTGACATTACTCTGCAATATACTGTCAGATGAATAGTTTTCTAAATAGTGATCCTTAAGCCTCTTTCAGCACAACTGTTCTATAATTCTATCTTCCTAAATGTTTCTTCTTAAGACATAACTGCCCCAGGGAAAATAAAAATGCACGTTAAGATGTCAAATTGAAACTCTTCAGCCAATGAACAATCTGGTCCGAGTTTTGAAGTGATTATTTCTAACATAATAGCCATAATGCCTCTGTTTTCCTTAGGCTGGGCATCTGGGAATTATATGGTCAAGGTTTTGGGTCTAAGCCCTTGCTTCAATTCAACCTTCTCTGTTTGTTGAGCTATTAAGTTGGGTGGCCTGTCACTGCTGAGTTTACAGAGTCCTATTGCTCTATAACTACATGAGCAGCCACAGATAAAAAAAGGTCAGTGTCTCAATTAACCTTGGAAAAGGTATCAACCCAAGGAAATAAAGACAAGAGACAGGAAGGAAAGAAAATGCAATCAGTCAATCAAGGCAAGGGGTCACCATAAAATATCTAAATGAAGGTCACTTGGACACAAAACATTCTTTCTCTTGCAAAATATCACAAGCAGTGCCACTCACAAAATTCCAGATGATATTTTTCCTTTTTTTACATGAATACTTTGTTAGCTTTTCAAATAGCTTGAACATACACAATAGATAAATTTTTTTTTTTTTTTTTTTGGCACTGGGGATCGGGTCCTTGCACTTGCAAGGCAGGTGATGGAACCACTGGGCTAAATCCCCGGCCCCACAATAGATAATTTTTAAAAATTAAGTTTCATTTTATCTAAAATATTATCCTTATGTTTTCCAAATTTCCAAATTTTTAATTCAGTTTATCTACATTTTTTTAAAGTCTCCAATAAAACTAAAGCCTTAAACAAACAGGTCTCAGCTAGCAAGGAACACAACTTGCATCACATAATTGGAGAATAAGTCTCTCAGTTTGACTGTTACTTAGTGATCTATTTTGAAATTTAACTTCACTGTCATTCTTTGGGGACCTTTTCTTGGTTTTTTTCATGGATACCATCTTTAATCTAAAACTCCTATGAAACCCCATTCTTCCCACACCTTTTTTCAAATGCTATGTGACTTCAACCCTCACATCAACAGTTTTCTAATTTTTTGATTTCTATTCAGATCTTATTTGCTGCAATTTTGATTGCTTATTTTCCCTTTTAATTTTCCTCTCCTTTGGTGATCATATTTTATCTAAACTGGCCAATATTGCAAGTGTTGAATGACATAGGAACATATACCATTTATGTGCACATGAAAATTTAGCATTGAGAGTGGACCACCAATAGCAACCAGACAAAAATAAATAAATAAATAAACATTACAGCTCTGACTTCAGAAAAGCTTTTCTGTGAAAATCTTCATCTTCTCTTTCTAACATAAGCAGTCACTGAATAAAGCTTCATAGGATAGAAATTTTAAAAATTTTAATAACTGGTCAATTGTTAAATTTACTGAATTTATCAGTGGTAAAAAATTTGCATTCACCTATCTATAGCTTTCTTTCAAATTGTGTTGCATACCCATCTAGGTTTTAGCACTGAGGTTTTGCATTTGGTCAAGACCAATCGACTACTTGCACGTTGGCTGACATATTTTCACAGTTCTTTGCAGATTCTCATATTTTGAAAAATAGTTGATATTGAAATAAGCTAAAAAATTCTTTCATTTTCTTTATGCATATTTTTACAAAGCATCCATAGCTTTAATCTAATCCTATGCAAATAAGCAAAGTTATTTATGTGGGCACTCCAAATGAATCAGTGTCTTTACACTAGTGAATATTTGGTACTTAGAAATAAATACTTTTCATTGTTGGAAGATGAAATAAACTTGAACCATAAACAATGTAACATTCTCATGTTTATTACTGACATCTCATAAATATGAAATTTTTGCATTTTGACCTGGGAAATGCTATTTTTTCTAGCTGTGAATAAGAAATTTATTAAGTTCTACTTTTTCATAAGCTAAAGATGACACCAAATTATAAGCTACAAATAAAAGGTTTAGCAAAATTTCAACTTCCCTTATCCAATACTTGAATGAGAAGTAAATACAGAGGGAGAGAGGGAAGGATGGAGAAAAGATAGGGAAGAAGAGAGGGAGGAAGGGAGGAAGGAAAGAAGAAAAGAAGGAAGTCTTCAATATTTTCCATAAATATAAACATTGCCAAGGTAAAGGAAAAAGGTATAGATTTTCATTACACAGAAAGAGGCAAGAAAAGCAATTAGTCTCAATAGGCTAACCTTTATAGACTCTGACAGCAAGGTAGAAAACAATGTTGGACCAAGAAATACAAATAATGGCATTGTTTTTGTTTACATAATTTAATAAACCTGAATACTGCAAAATTCACTGAGATTCACTGTTTAGAATCATAGTGTCAAGTACTTAAACTATTGACCGTCACCTCTTTATTTATACTTTAAATCATTTCTCAACTTCCTGAATAGCATAAAATAGACAAAAGATTTTTAGCATTCCTATTATAATTTTAAAGAGAGGAAACATAAAGTATCACAGAAGAAGACAAGCAAGTATGGTATCATAATTCCTAAGTATGACAAATCACTGTTTGAGAGCTTAAAAGTGTCCTCAGAACCAGGGCACATGAGAATGTGATGTGATGTTTGCTATCCCTACTTAGAATAGACATTCCTTTATTTTTACTTCACAAGGTATACGCTAAATGGTTCATTATAAGGGGAGGCTATTGTTCCAAATGACATAAATTTTAATGATACATTGGAAAGTTAGCTATTAAAATGGTTTTGATTGGGATATCCAAAGAATGATTATCATTTCACAGTTTTTTTTCAATACAATGTTCCTGCCAGTTGAACCTTCAAACCATTACTAAATTGAAAGCCAAAGGAATGAGTAAGTTTTCTATTTAAGATAGGAAGAAATGGGGTACATAGTAGTATCTGTTGTTGGGATACAAATTACATTCAATAGTTAGACAGACCTTAGAATAATTTTGGGGACTAAAACTATTAACCCCATATATTTTGTTAAAACACTTTTAATCTCATTAATTTTGAGGCAATTTCTAACTGTAATGTTATTTTCTGCCAACTAATCTTTTCTTTATCTTTATCCAAGTAGCTAAAGACACTGTTCAATCTAGTTCTTGGAGTTTAGGAGATGTGGCTCTTATAGCAGTAAGTATGAAATTGAAAGGGCTAAATTAATTCAGAGCAACTTTAGAATGAAGATGGCATTTACCAAACTTACCTATGCATGTTTTCTTATCTGAATCCAGCTGGTGTCCATGGTTACAGGAACAATGGGGCCCACCAATTTCATGTTCACAGTGATGGGAACAACCACCATTGTTCTTTTCACAGCTATTGACAATTTCCAATTCAATCCCTTTCCAAAACAAGCAAAAGAGGGCTATTAACATAACAAAAGAGAAACGTGAATATATGTCAACAATGGGCACACTTTCTCTTTGAGAGGATAACAAACTTCATTGGAAATTTATCAACATTTTGTTTATATGAAAGTAAAAGTTTGAGGGCTATTAAGCATTATAAATGGCTATACCACATTGAAATACTAATACATGCAGAAATAATGTTAAGTTGATTAAGTGAGTTAGAAAGGTAATGAGTCCACCAATAGTTATTAAACCTTTATTTTAAAGGAACTGACAGAATTGTCAGTATTTTCAAAATATAACAATATATGTGTTGAATCAATGACCAGAAAGTAAACAGTTTGTTTACTGCTGACATTTCTATCCTCAGCTAATTGTATATTATTATCTATCCTTTCTAGGGTCTATGAGTACATGAAACTACTGTTAAAAATAGCCTTGAAACAAAAGAGTGTACACAAAACCAGTGAATTCGCTGATCATATATATATAATTAATGCCTTGTTGATATGCTAATCAGCTTTGATGTACATAATACTCGCTTATTATATTAACATATTTTATTTTAAAAATAAATTGTCCAATCCTGGTTTATACTACCAATTTGAGGTATAGTGGTAAGTATCGACCCCAGCACATTAATGCCAATTGTCTTGAGCACAGAAGCATGAAATTCACTGATTTGGTAAGTGAGGATATGGGAAATCAAATAACATTATGAATCAATGTTAAAAATATGGAATTACTCTGACTGCTGGTTTTGCCATCAGAGTCTACCATTCTTTATTTGCATTGTGCGAAGACACCCTTCTTACTGAGAGTGTCTATATTAGTTTATGTCCTACTAGTGTTAACTCTTGAATTCTTTCGAAGAAGAAAGATACCTTGCATAACCAGCTCATAACAGATGTTCAAAAGTAGGTCTTGAGTGACTGAAAAACTAAAGAAGGATAATACCAATCAATTTACTGTTGAAAGTAAGAACCCCTTTGGATTTAGAAATAGTCTAAAACTGAACAAAATTAGAAAACTAAAAGAAAGATTGAACTAATTTTTTTCAGCATACATTAAAATGTACATTTTAGATAAATAAATTTTAAATTAACTTTCTGATAGTAAAGGAGGTACATGGATGTTTAGATCAGAACTATTTCTTTAGTAACATTTATGGCACTGTTGGCATTAGAAGCCGGGTCTCCCAGGCCAGCTTGTTGTATTATATGATTTTTCCACTCTCAGCTTTCAGTTAGTTGAGTTTAGTTTAACACTCATTTTTAACATTTCTTTTTGAATGATATTATTCCAGTTAAATGAAAATATTATAAGTACTCTCACTTGAATGCCTAGCCCTATACTATACAAATGAATATATGTAACATTAAGATTTTTTGATTAACAGATTAAAAATATGAAGTTAAGAAAGATAAAAATTTTGCCATGATAATAGACTTAATAAGATCGAATATTCCAATTCAGAAAAGTTTTCCTGCGTAATATCATGTGTAAATGGAAAACAATTTGACAATCAATGTAACATATTTCTCGCCAGAGTAATAATAGTAAGAGAGACAGTATGTTATAGTAGAAAGAACACAAAAGTTAAAGCCTGATTATCTAATATATTAATAAATCACTTTATATATCTGATTCTCACTTTTTACCATTATAAATTTAGGGAGTGAGTTATATCAAGACCAGATAATTAGTGGTTTGCAGATAATATGGAATTCGATTATTAAGGTGTTTTTAAAATCAAGAAATTTCCCATAAAATTCTGGACTTTTACCTTTTTTTTCTAAAAATAAAATTTTTCTGTTTTAAAGACCATGAATATAAACAATAACCTATGTTATACTCATTCCAAAAATAGTTTGGCACTTTTTATAAACTTAAATGTATGTTTATCCTATGACTTTCCAGACCCAGGTATTTATTGAAGAGAAATAAAAGCTAAGTTCACAAAAAGCCTGTATATAAATGTTTTTATATTTATAAATGAATGGATAAAGAAAATGTGGTTTTTATATACAATAAAGTACGACTCTGCCATAAAGAAGGATACACTTGAGAGATTTTTTTTTAGGTAAAGAGATGCACCTCAAGACCATACCTTTGAGTAGTGAAGTAAATCAGACACACATGTTTAAATATCACATTGTTTTTCTTGTGTGAGAAACTGAAAGCATATGTAAGGACCAAAATGGATGATAGATAGTGGGAAGAAAATGTTCAAATGGGAAGGGGAGTAGGGAGGGGGGAGTGGGACAGAAGGAAGGAAAAGGAGGGGAAGAAGGTTGAAGGGAGGAGAGGGGGATGGGAAAAAAAGAAGAATCAAGATATATTATGTCTAGGTACAAATTCCCTATGATGAATGTGATCATTCCATATATCAAAAGTGTACCAATAAAATGAATTTAAAAATAAAGTTGTAGTTCATTGGTTAAAAAAACCTTTTTAACAGCTCTTCATAAATTGCCAAAAACTGAAAACAATTCAAAACTCAAATATTTTAATGGGTAAATAACAAACCAGCTCTGTTATTCAATACAATAAAATACTACTCATCAAAGAGAGTATTCTTTAGGTAAGAAATAAGTTGGTTGAATTTCAAAGTCATTTTATTAAAGTTTCTATACTGTAAGAGTCCATTTATCTAATATTTTTGAAAAAATGAAACAGTGATGGAGTACAAATTAGTAGCTGTCAAATTTTAGGCATAGGGGAGTATTCTGGGGTTGATGAAACTGGGCTTAATTATTATTGACCAAAAAAATAAGAACCAAGAGAGATTGTGTAAAGGTGCCAGTTTCCAATGATGAATGTCATTATATTGTACACCTAAAATGTACCAATAAAATTAATGTTTAAAAAAGAAATAGTGGTTACATAAATCTATATCTTGTTAAAATTGATAGACCTAAATGACAAAAAGTTGATTTCATTGTGTGTTACTTAAAAGCAAAACCAAGAGAAAACATAATGCTCTGCAAATGCCATATTCCTCTTTGGATTCTGTCACACTATCTGATTCCCTGCAGCATGAGGCACCTAGCCACGCTTGCAGTCTTTTTTTTATTTTGCCTTCTAGGAAATCACATTCTCCACATTTTGCTCATACCTTCTGGATATTTTTTCAGTATTTCCTGAACCTCTACCATATTCTAGTTGATACTGAGGTTCTCATCTCAGTTCTCTGTCCATTTCTCCAGAGGCACTCATTTCACAGACAATCCCACTCATGGGTTAAATACAATCATCCAGCTCTGATGCCTACAAATTTCAAGATTATTCTATGTCGTTATAAAAATAGGCAGAAAGGACATACTTGGCATTTCTACTTGTCTCATCTAACTGTGAAGATAAAATTGTGATTTCTGAACATATCCCTCTCTCTCAGCAATCAACCTTTGCTTCTACTGGACTTCATATTTTGGTAACAGTCATTTCCATTCACCTCTTTTCTAAACCCCAAACCATTCATTTATGATACTTATTTGCATTATATTCATGGCAGTGATTCCTCTCAGTTTTACATAAAAAACAAATCCCAAATCTGGCTAACTGCCTTAATCCAAGCCAACATAATAGCTCACTTGGATGATTCTAATCTTGCTTTCACACACACCATCCCACTGTCTAAGCCTTACCAAGATTTTGCAGTGATTTTTTAAATGAAAACCAAATCACAGTGCTTGTTCGAAACCACCCACTGCCATTTAGAATTCAAAATCATACAGATACTGCATGATGTGATTTGAACTTCTTCCTGCCTACAACACTAGCTTCATTGCTTCCCTGTGCCCTAATTCACTCTCTCCAGCCAAGACTAGCTTTTTAACTGTTTCCTGAGCACATCAAGTTTAGCCCTACCATGGAGTCCTAGTCCTCACTTCTCTTTTTTTCTTAGAACTTCTTTTTATTATAAACAGGTTGAGTATTACTTATCTGAAATGTTTGGAACCAGAAGTGCTCCACATTTAAATATTTTTTTCAGATTTTAAATATTTGTTCATGTATGAGGAGATATATATATCTTGTAGATGAGAGCCAAATATAAATACAAAATTCATTTATTCTTCATATCTACCTTATGTGTGTAGTCTGAGGGTTGTATGGTACCTGCATCTTACCTGTCTCACATTGCATAAGGTCAGGTGTGGAATTTTCCACCGTGGTGTCTTGTCTTGTACTCAGAAAGTTTCAGATTTGGGGATATTTTGGAGTTTCGATTTTTGAATTAGGAATAGTCAAAATGTATCATCATTATGTGTCAAGATGCTATATATTATTTCATACTCTTCCATTTTCTCTGTCCTGTAAGAATTTAGGTTCCATAAAGAAAGCTTGACTGGCTTGCTCATCATTGTAACCTCAGTGCTAAGGTTGGTGCCTGGTGTGTGGTGGTAATTATGCAGTAAGCATTAGTTGGATGATTCAGTGACTCTGGACACATTGGCATAGTGCCTGCTCCCTCTGGGCAGCACTTACCAGGAAGGAAGCAGTCACTTTCCTCGTTAGTTCCAGAACTTGCTCTTCAGCCCAATACAGTTCCCACAACTCCTTATTTTCTTACATTTGCATTGCTTTTCACTTGTCTATTTATTGCCTGTGTTGTGTTTATGTTAGAGTTTTGATTTATAGAGTAGATCATACTGAAGGTACCAAAAACTGATAAATTTTCCAACAGTTAACAATTTTTCAAAGGGAAAATAAGAATGTCTATGAAGAATTTTATGTGGGCTCTCCATATTCTTGCTGTTTTCCTGTGACATTGCCTCAGTACTTACTCTGCTGATGGCAATTTAAATTATATATAAATGATACTATGGTAACCTAATTAAAAATGCAAAAGATTAAAATAAGTCCAAGCTTTGATATATATGTGTAAGTTTAAATTTGAATTCTTGATCCAGATAATAAAAAAATGACTTATTATAATACTTTAAAAATTATACTTAAGGGCCGGGGATTTAGCTCAGTGGTTTTGCCA